TAGCTCCAGTTGTGCCAGGGAGGGGAATGTTAGAATCTCACTGATTGAGGATATGAGTTGTAGTTCCTCTGTATCATTTTGAATGATCCTCACTTTATGAGCTAACAGTTGGGGTTAAGTTAGGTCCTGTCTTCATGTTTCTTTAACACCTTCAATCCACCTACTTACATTTGAGTTTGTTATGAGTTATGACATTCCATGCGGTATATTTTGCTTATTTTGAGAAGCTAAGTCGTTTGACTATGAATCTGTTTAGGAAGTGACAATGTTTTATGCTGTCAACGTAAAATTTTTAGATGTTACATAAAGATCTTGTAATTTGCTTTACTTGCACAATAACTTCTCAAAAGAATGCTTCGACAGAGCTTTACTCTAGAGACTGATAAGTAAAACACTTGGGTTTTGATCTTGTTATGACATACTATCTTGATGGACAGTGTGTCGGATTTGCTCGACTATATCAATCCTGGTTCTGATGCCAAAGGGAGAAACGCTATTTTAGCAAAAAGAAAAGGCTTTGCCTCAAAGGTACAGGATGCTTGTGATGTTTCTATATTTTGTTTTTTTCCTTAAATGCTGCAAATATTTATCAGCGTGAAGGGGTAAGTAATTGTAATTTGGGACAAAGTTGTATATGCTAATGCAAATATGTTCTTTAACAAAGAAAAATGTTAATGCAATATGCAAACAATTTATATAACACTCTTTCCATTTAGGACGTTTCAAAAAATTTGTAACACTAGCTTATTAAAAGGTTATACTGTGCAACATTTACATCTTTCAATCTCAAATTCATTTAACTATTCAAAATTTTAAATTTTGATATGATGTTCCCTATCAAACTTTCAACGAATACTGTAATATTTTCGTCCACTTTCAATAATATGATACATAAGTCTAATTATCATATTAAACTTCGAGTAAGTGAAATGGCTGGAGGATATCATAGATTAAACTGTGAAATTCAAAGTCTAGCGTGAGCTGTTTTGTTGGAAAGGTCTACCGTCCATAATGCCAGCACAAGCCTACAGAGAAAGATTGAATTAGCTTAAAAGGAAACTTTGGTTCTAGGTAGATGCTTCAACATATGTTTCAGGCTTCCAAAGGTCTGTATGCCTTCCTGCTATATGTTAATGCAAATGCGTTGCTGTGAAATTCAAATTTTACAGTGTGCTATTTTTTTACGTCTCAAGAACTCTTGCCGTTTGCTTGTTCCACATTTATGTGAAATTAGATTTAGCTTGAAGCTTGAGGCTTGCATAGCATAAACCTCCGTAATGCTTCTGCCCTCTTTATGCTTCATGCTTTTATTTCTCAGGTAAAGGGAAAATCTGATCAGACCAATTATGCCTCAGCAAACTCCGACACTCCTAAAAATGTCCTGGAAGTGAAGCAAGATGATCAGAAACTAATTTGCAAAGATGATAATGATTCCCAGACGAATGAGGAACCCTTTGACATAGTAGTTAAGTCCAATCTGAATGCAGACCGAAGAATTTCAGAGAAGTACAACAAACCCATTGAACCTAGATTGGAGAAGTGTGTTAATGGCACTAACTTATCTGAACCTTATGCGGAAGCAGATGATGGATGGCAGCCAGTACAGAAACCAAGATCAGCTGGTATTTATGGCCAAAAACTAAGACAGAGGTGGCAAACCATCAGCAAGGTCATTGATTATCAGAATGAAGACTCAATTTCTGAAGTTGGCCATGCTAGATTGAAGAATAACTATCAAGCTGGTAGATATTTTGTCTTAAAGAAAAAGACATCAGACGGAAATAATGCAGATTACTATGTAGCAAAGAGTCCATCTCCCAGTACCAAACTTGGTCGAAGAGTTGCCAAAGCTGTCATGTATCGGGTCAAGTCTGTGCCATCGTCTGTCAGAGATGTTGTTGCTTTGACCTCTAATACTGGAGGTGAGTTATTATGTTCTTCAGTGGTGCAGATTCAAGTCTCTGCAGTAAAAGAGGCTGGACCAATACCAAAGAGGAGTTCCATAGTAAGCTTAGGAATATCTCCTTCCTACAAGGATGTAGCAGTTGCCCCACCAGGTACCATCTGTATGTTGCAGAAGAGTTTTTCTGAAGACAAAGTTCCTGATAATCAAGAAGTTCTGGAACTTGGAGAAGAAGCCAATGGGGAGGAACAAAATTCTGAGGTAATGAGAAGCGATGCAGAATCCATCAAGCTGGGGGATGAAACAGTAGCTACTGACAACAAAGAAGGAATTTCTTTGAGTTATTTGGGAGGTGGTGAAATTTCAGATGTCATGTGTCCAATCTTGCCTTCAGTTCAATCCAGCCATGTTGATGTTAGTCCAATGGAAGAGGAAGGTGTCAACACTCATAGCATGTGTATTTCTGACAATTTAGATTCAAATGGTAATTCAAATGTTACCTTACAAGAGATGGAGTACCCAGAGGTAAAAGCTTCAGTATCTTATTCAAGTGATATTAGTCGAGAATTGTCCAATAAACAGTTATCTGCATCAGCGGCACCATTCAGCCCATTCCCAGCCGTTGCTCGTATAGTGCCACTGCCTATGAACATTAATCGCCCTTCTGGTCCTGGAAGACTACCGCCAGTAGGTCCTTGGCCAATGAACATGAGTGGTCATCCAGGAACACCCACTATTTTGCCCAACCCAATGTGCTCCTCCCCTCATCACTCATATCATTCACCTCCGCCCACCCCAAACATGATGCACTGTTTGCCCTTTATGTACCCTCCCTATTCTCAACCCCAGATGTTAGCTCCAACTACATTCCCAGTAAACAGCAGCGCTTTCCATCCCAATCATTATGCTTGGCAGTGCAATATGACTCCTAAAGCATCAGATTATGTTCCAGGCTCAGTTTGGTCTGGCTGCCATCCAATAGAGTTTTCTGTCTCGCTACCTGTGGTTGAACCAATTACTGAGTCAACTTTGGTTTCGGTCACAAAAGAGTCATCTGATAATTCTGAGCGCTCGAGTCTGGTACCAAGCTTTCGTGTTGATCTCATCTCCGGGGATGAGGTTAAGGCAGAAGCAAATCTTCCAGCACCAGATGCAGTGGAAACTTTGAATGATATAGCTGAGGTTGGATCAGAAAAAGTGAGAGCAATGGACACATTGGCTTCAGAGTACATTACCTTGTCGGACAATCAATCACAGAAGGGTGACGCTCCAAATGAGAATGCTGGATCCTGTGATAATTACATACAGAGACACCCTTGTAAGACTGATGAGGAGAAGACCTTCAACATTTTAGTAAGGGGTAGGAGGAACCGCAAACAAACTCTGAGAATGCCGATGAGTTTGCTTAAGAGACCATATACTTCTCAGCCCTTCAAAGCTGTATGTTGCAGGGTAATAAGAGACTGAGGTTCCCACTCTACCAGTTCTGATCCAAATGGAACTAGTATAGAGATTACTCCTTGAGGTAGTTTTACAGCTTTCACAAGATAACTGTAGCAGGATGGGCAGTTTAAGCTGAGTACACGTTTTTTGTTGCTCACATGCTAAGACTGCTGAGGTGTTGGTTAAAAGCGCTGGTAGTACTCACAGTTCGATATTGTTTGCGTTTTGTTATGCCACATCAACTTGTTTTGAAGGTTAGTTCTTTCGAACAAAGACAAATATTGCTGTTAATCCTATCCAACCCTCTGCCACCTGAGGAAAAAGATGGTCCTTCTGATGAGTATTTTTTTAGTGCAGGTTTGTTTGATCATACTTTTTGGCATTAAGGAGCAGTATTCACTGTTTAGTTCACCAGTGACAATTGCTCCATTTTTTTCCTCAAATGCTACTCATTGATTTCATTACTTTGTACACGAAGCAAAATTATTCTTTTGACACCTCTAATGGAAGTGTATTTGCATCTGATCTAGATATCTTCCGACAATATACTCGTATACTTTCTGAGTTTCTGCTTAAAGTTTATACCTGTCCAAAATGAAAAAGAGTGTCATATGAATTGAGAATACCCTCTCTTTCGTCATGTTATACAAACATTTGTAACACCTAACTTTTCTTTGATTATAATTTTTAAATGTCTGTTACTAATTGAACGCTGAAAAAGTGTGGTTTGCTAGTATACAGATTATATACTGCTGAAAAATGCAGGCAGATGGAAAGGACTGAAAAAATAGCATTCCACACTGATTGTGTCCTCCCCACTCTTCACCGCACCTCATCTTCACCACACTCTTGTAGCCCCTTTCCCCACCACCTCCCACCCCCACCCCTGTTAAGTCTCGCAACAGTGGGATGAGGAAAATTTGAACTCCTTATATGGACTTGGATAATAGCTAATTTTCGGGATGTAAATTACGCCCAAGACCAATTTCAAGGTGAATTTTGCAAAAATGCTTATATGGTTGGTGAAACGGTAATAGAGCCAGATCCATTCCAATATATAATTTATCAATGTTGGACATCCATATTACATTATCCATGCACCTTGGAAATGAGGCTGGATGTAAAGTCTCACATTAGTGGGATGAAGAAAATTTAGACTTCTATAAAAATATTTTTATAATAATATATTTTGCTTACGTATCAAATTTACTTATTTTTCTAGAAAAACCAAAAAACCGCAAGGCAGAAGCCACCACAAGGCTTATGTTCCTAACTACGTTCTGCGTATGTAATGAGCTCGTTTAACTGAGACTATATTTTACAAAAACAAAGGAAGAAAATGCTTAAAACGAAAACACGTTGACTTCCTTTCTTAATTCAGTTTCCACAAAGAAAGTCAATTACAGCGCACGACATAGGCTTCGGTGCCAAGTCTAACGAAACTTACTATGGTATTAAGTCGACTGGAGCCAAGCTGAGTTAGACCAAACTTATTATAGTATTGGGTCGAGTCAACCCCGAACCAAACCCCACTGAGCTTCGTACAATATAATGGCCAAGTAATCAGAGCCAACAAAAGAGGAAAGGTCACACAAAAATGTGACTTGCTAATTCTGTCGATATATTATAAGACGCATTGATCCTGCCAAAATGTGTATGAAATGGCAAGACATCACATTCAATATATTATATACTCTACAAGCAAAGGGGTTTTCTATGTAATAGCAATATCAAGTCCATACACTTGGCTTTTAGTACTGTCGATGACACTACCCACGCAAGCAGCAGTTTTAACCTAATCACTACTTATAACTACTACAATAAGAAATACAAATCGAGGCAAAGAATCACTGGTCACCTATCTCTATACGCAAATCGTGGTGAACGAGAAGTGATGAAAAATGGAAGCTTGTGTAGTTCTGTTTACTTAGACCATGCTACTGAATCAATCTCAGCTTGAGCAGCTCTGTATAACTCAAGTCTCTTTGCCAGAGAGAGGCGACGCTGCATAATTGCTGGATCCTCATCCAACAAAGTACCAAGCTGTTTCCCCTGCAAAAGAATAAGGCGAACATTAATATCCGTGTAAGTCATACCATTGCTGCACTCCTCTCACCCAGAAAGAGTTTCAGGTAGATTAACAAATAAGGCAGAATCTCACCTCCTTCTTGCCTAAATCAGTGAAGAAATGATCAAGCAAGCTGCGTTTGGCCTCCCGCACTTGACCATAAACTACAGACTTTGGAATTGAATTCCTCAAAGTTGCACAAACCATATTGACATAAGACAAGACATTTGACCCTGTTCACAAAAGGCAGTTATGAGGATAACCCCAAAAAAAGTTGCAAGGGAAAAGATCTTAGGTGACTATTTTACGAGTAATTAGCAGAAAATTTTAATGCATTTATCAAAATACTTCGGAGAATCAAAGAATTAAGGGGAGATTGCTAGTTCACAACTTACCTATCCTGCGAAGATAGGAATCATTGTACCGGTCAAAAATAGAATGTGTCGGATTCCCTCCCTTCTCAATATCTTGAGGAAGCTTTCGGAAGAAATCTACGGTCAGGTAACTACACTCCATTTCAACCAGCTGAAGAGTTGCTTTTTTGCTTTCATCCCTCATCCTTTCTAGTGATTCAACAGCTGCATTGCTGACCTCTACTCGTAGGGAGGGGTATTGCTTTAGCTCCTGCACAGAGAAGAAGCATGCGTCCAGCTGTTAGACCCTTAACACACCAGAATAATAATTATAACAATTTATGTATCATTAACTCCGAACAGCAACTAGAAACGAAAGGGAACTTGCCGCAGTCTCACTGATTGCCTTGTGAATCAGTTCCTTCAGTATAGCATGAACCTGCAATCATCACAAAGGAAGTAACTTAGTACTCCGTGATTTGTTTGCTCAACTGTACAAGATTTTTGCCCCTAATGACGGAGAAAAACCTCCCATACTAAGCAGAAAACAACTCAGACAATGTTTCCTAATCTTGGTAGCATCTAATTACAGTCAGAATAGTCAGATAAGCTGATTAAATTTTAAGAAAGGAATCTACAAGATTAAATATAGATAACTAAATTCTATTTCGTTCACTACTTTTTTGTTTTTTAATAGGAGATTAACAAGATTTGTAAGTCAAGTTGACAGGGAGGAACAAGTCAATGAAAAATCAAACACAGCAAAATCAAATTACACATATCTACTTCGGTTGACATTATTGACAAAGTGATCCCTAATCAGAGGACCCACACTTGCCAATTTCCAGCTTTACTTTCAATGTCAAAAATTATTTCCTAATATCATTTTGTTTAGTAGTTTGTACTTTTCCCAGTAATGCCAACTTTGAAGTCACATATTATCAAAGTTCCAAAAGCTGCTACGGTGAGAAAAAAACTGGCATTCTGAGAATGAACATCGTACTCGTCCTGATGTCATAAAACACCCCATCTACTCATATTGCAATACCAAGCTTCAAGTCTCATTGCTATTATTTCTTGTAACTTGACAAGACTAAAACAACAGCCATGTAGTGGGCTTGCACAAAAAATTATGTGTATATATAGTTGCAGAGGTTTAAAAAATGCCCTAGGTTGCAGATTCAACTCCTAATTCTGCATTTTGGCCTCTCTTTTTTCTTTTTCTGAATCCCTTAGTGAAATTCCTTCCCCAGCTACTACACACCTGACTACTCCATGAAGAAGACTGAAATGTAAATCAACAAAAAGCAGTACACAACAACAATTAAGCCTCAATTTCAATTTAGTTGTGTCTGCTATAAGAATCCAGCTTGCTCCATTTGGGGACCTGTTTTATTCCAATTCTCGATAATTTGAGTCAGAATACTAGAATGGAAATCCCAAAAAAGGGCAAAGAAGAATCAATGGCTGATGAAAAGAGGCTTCATCAAAAAACGGCTGAAGAAAAGGAGACATCTGACCCATTCCGAAAAGATACAAAGCTAGTTGAAACCATTATACACAGTGCAACTTATAATAGTATATTTTAGGTACAAACAACAGGGGGCAAAAATCCATACCGCATCAACAGCTGCTTCAGCAGGACCCTTCATAGAAACTATGGAAGATTCAATGAGACGACGATATCCTTGTTCAGGAGCTATCAAATGCGGCTGATATCCATCCGCTTCAGTTATAAGTTTCCTTACATTGTCCATTGAAAGTTGCTTGTCAAATTGCAGTCTCTTCAATGCAGCAGGGAGCTGATTATCAAACACGTAATATATTTTATCACCTCCTGGTCGACTGTGACATCCAGACATCAGAAAACAAGCTTAGACCACATAAAAATATAGTTTACTTGGATATGTTGACAAAAAATAAACATGGAACACTTACACTCCATCAAGATGTTCTTTGAAATTTCCATCAAAACTACGACAGATTTCCATTATCATGTACAATTTTCCCTGATCAGAACATGCAAAACAAGGACAAGACATATGATTCACGCTCAGAAGAGCAACAAAAGCAAACTCATATTCTACAGACTAATGGAAGCACAGAGAAGAAAGTAAATTGCCTCACAGGTTTCAATAACCAATACAACAGAAAGGTAGAGATTTAAATAGGATACTTACTCCCGCATCCGTGGCAATGGGCTTTCCAAGACGGCTCAACTCAGTTTCTAGCTCAATTATAGTTTTGTTGATAAGAGACTGGAGACCTGGAATCCGAGACTTGATAACAGACTCCAAATGCTAAAAACGTAGACAGAAAATCAAAGAAAAACAGTTAGCTATCCAACATAAACCACAACTACAAGTCTACATCAAATAGGAAAAGCATAAAGACCTTTAGGCTTCATTTAGAGCACCAAGAGGAATTTCATTGGAGGCAGAAAAGTGAAATAAGATGAACAATGCTCTAGTTTAAAAAAGAAAAAAACTTCAACCCCTGAATATTCCATTAGAAAGAATATGACATACTTTCGACAGAACTTTCCCAAGATGTTCTGAACCCATCCTGTTAGCAAGATGCCGGTACTCAGGGGTACTAGAAAAGTACTCTTTCTCCCTACGCCTAGCAGCAATCATATCCACATTTTTGTTGATATCAGCTTGTGAACGATTGACAACACCAATCCATGGAAACTGTAGCTTATATGATTTTCCTTCCAACATCTGGAAATCCAAGAACTTGATTTAGAATAATCAACAATTGATAATATTTGTAAGTAAATAAGAACCATTATAATTTTTTCTTGTAAATGTTAACAGACATCTTGATGGCAGCAGAAGTTTTAATCAGAAAGCATAAATCATAGGAATGTGAATTAAACAGTGGATACTGACAAACACGTTTGCAGAAACAAATAAAGATATGATTACCACTTCTGCTCCTACAAATGTCAAGAGGGCATGAAGAAGTGCCTTTGTCTATTCCAATAGGTAGTATTTTAAGATGCTCAGACTAAGAACACAAGGATAGGCTTTCAATGTCCAAAATCATAAATTTAAAAGAAGAGTACTCAAGTAGAGTGATTGGCAAAATCATAACATTCATCCTCCACATCATGTCATGTCATGTGCATTGCCTTAATTTCTTTACTTAATAAAGCAAACTCAAATAGTATCTCCTTGGGTATTATCACAAGATCTGTTCAAATAACTCTTCACCCAATATGAGAATATGTATTCACTAAGATACTACTACCTAAGTTGCTCGGACTCGGTGCGGGTATCCGATACAAGTGCAGATCTAAAGGTCGGATCCTTCATGATCTAGTTTTTAAGATTTGGGGATATGGATCCATGTATGGATACGGGTGCGAGGATTCGCCTAAAAATAATTAAAATATATAAAAATAAGAGTTATTAAACGTAAATTATGTGGAGAACTTGAGGAGAATCCTGGAAGGAGATTAAAGGAAAAGGAGTGACATAAAAACTTCTATATAAAAGGTATACCATTTTCTTCAATTTCACCTTAGTTTTAGTATTGGCTACTGAAATGATTAAAACTGTCCAGACTTTCCCCATCGATTTTGATCAAAGTACCCAAAATCAGTTGACCAAATCGGACATGGATTCCACACCCATGTCATGTCAACACAGGTGCAGCACCAAAAGTGAAGAGTCCGAGCAACTTAGACTACTACTACTACTAATCTACTACAAGTCTACAACAACAATCAACAAAAAATTGATATTTGGACTTTATCAAACTAGAATAAGAAACTACAATCACCTTAACCCAATCAAACTCAAAATACACAAGTTCTCCAAAAACTAGAAAAATTATGAAACATTCCTCTGTTCCATTTTATGTACAGAGGTTCCTTATTCTTCACAGAAGCTTTGGTATTTCTCTTTATATAAAAGATACTTCCCCATTTTTCCCAATGTAAGAATGTAACTCATCCCTCTGTTCCATTTTAGGTGGCATTATTTCCTTATGAGTTTTTATCAAAAAGAATGACACATTTCTATACAAGGCAACACTTGAACTTTAAATTTCTCATTTACCTTTAATGACATGCTTTTATAGTCACAAAAATGTCACAGGTACAAGAAAAGTCCCGGACTTCCTTTTTTTCCATAAACTTCGTGTCAAGTCAAGCATCACCACAAAACTTGAACAGATGGAGTACACTTAATGGCATTAATTTTAAAAAGCTACATGTATGTACGGTTAACTACAAAAACAACAACATGCCTTGTATATTCCCACAAGTGAGTTTTGGAGAGGGTGGGAACTACGCAAACCTTACCCCTACCTTTGCAGGGTAGAGAGGTTGTTTACGAAAGACCAATGTATGGTTAACTACAAGAACAACAACATACCCAGTATATTACCACAAATGGAGTCTGAGGAGGGTGGGTATACGCGACCTTACCCCTCCCTTTCCGAGGTAGAGAGGTTATTTCGTTAGACCCATGTATGGTTAACTATCAAACTTAAAAAATCAACTTATGGCATAAATTTGGATCGAATGAAAAGACTAAAAGCAACTTTTCTCTAGTTTTATCTCAAGGATACAAAAATAGATAAGGTCCATACTCATATACGCTCAATTGAAGCTACATTTAAGTAAAAATGCATGTTCAAACAAGTATAGCAGTAATTATTATCAACCAAATAAAAGCTTACATCGACAGCATCGGTACCCTTATCCATGAGATCAATCTTGGTCAGAACTCCAAATGTCCTTTCTCCTGAGACAAGTGGTCAGATACTGAGTCAAAAACGTCTTAAAAGATGTAATTGTTCTTGATATGAGTATGCATAATCTTGACCAATAATGAACCATATTGTACAACTAGCATCGAGCTAGCACATTACCACACAAGGAAAAGACGAGAGTTGAGAGTCAGAGATAGCAAATGAGCTGAGATTATGAACCTAGATAAAACTTAAACTACATTATTTGCTCAATCAAAAAATGATCACAAATGAGTGTGAGAACAAATAATTCTCTGAGTGTAAAAGATAATTGAATGGACATATCCACAACATGAACAAATTTGCAAAACGACAAGTAAAAAAGGTAATCAATACTAGAAATAAACATAAGCATAAAATAAAAGGAACATGTCTCACTAGACTTCACTAGTAGTGACTGTTTTAGCAGGTAACTAAGAAACAGGAATGGTCTTTCTTGCCTTCATTTTTCCTCTTATTCTTTTTGGATAAGTAAACACTGATGATCTTTCTGTTCATAAAAAAAAATGAAATTACGCATTGGCAAACTTGAAAAACATTTAGGGCTTCAAATATTGGAGTTTTGCCACCGTAAACGAGATAAGTACAAATGTGAAGCACATTGAAGGTCTATGTTATATCAAGTTTCCCAACTCTTGTTCACCTTGAAGAATGTGAGCACTGGGAAGAAACTTCAATTTTCTTACAGAAGATATAAAAGTTGTATGACTTAATCTTCTTTATCAAAAAAAAGAAATAAGTTGTATGAATTTATCTTTGATTCATAATCAATAAACCTAGGGTTTAAGTTGTGCGGACTCTTCACTTTCATTGTCGTTACTGTGCCAGATTCTCCAAAAACACACTACTTTTGGAGAATCCGACACGCACCCGTTGACATTTTTGAAGAGTCCAAGTAACATAGTAAATAAAAATGCACTCGTAATCCTCAGAATTCTAATTTAGATGAAGTGAAACTACATTTTGCTTGGCTAAGATACTGTTAAACAGGACAAGGAGTGGAATAGGGACATCTTTGGAAGGGTGCAGGTTAAGATGCGGGAGGTAATGAACAAATCGGGAGATCTAGTGTGTGTTGGGGGGTGGGGGGGAGGCTAAACAAGGGAGAAAAGATGAACCAACAGCTTGGGAGACTAGCTGAAAACAAAATAAATGGAACACTCTGTTTGAAAGAGGAGGGTCCAATAAAAAGTTCTTAGTGAAGTGAACAGAAGTGGGGTAGATGGTTTATAAAGATGAGGAAGAGGTCAAGTCAGTTGCAGTTTTTATTCCCTAGTGTACAAAGAAAAGGAAGAATAGAGACTGAATTCGGGAGGATAGAGTTTAACCAAATATGAAAGAAAATGAAAGAGTGGTTGGAGAGTGTACAAAGAAAAGGAAGAATAGAAACTGAATTCGGGAGGATAGAGTTTAACCAAATATGAGAGAAAATGAAAGAGTGGTTGGAGAGTGTGTACAAAGAAAAGGAAGAATAGAGACTGAATTCGGGAGGATAGAGTTTAACCAAATATGAGAGAAAATGAAAGAGTGGTTGGAGAGTAGAAGAGGAGAGGAGTTGAGGGAGACTGGAGAATTGTGCGGGAGATAAACCATCAGACTGGAGGACTTCACTCCAACTTTTTTCCAGCAATGTTGGGAGTGTCGTGAAGGAAGACAACATGAAGACTGCTACATCATTCCAGAAATCAGAAAAGCTTGTAAAAAGCCCCACTGCATTCATTGCATCACCCAAAAGGAGGAGGGAGCCTCAAATATTGGGGAATGTGGAACTATTAGTCTAGCAGGAAACATCAACAGATCAATTTTAAGATGGTTTCAAGTATACGAATAAAGGTCTGGTGATACAATGTCTCTCTCTTAGGATGTGTTTGTATCTGTGGAGGGCAGATAAATTCTACATGCAGGATTGGTGGAAAATGAGGCAGTGGCTTCTTGAAAGTTAGTTGGATCTAGAGAATGTGTATGACCACGTGAATTGGAACTTCTAGAACTTTGTGATGCTAAAGATAGGTTTTGGAGAAAGGTAGAGAAGATGGATAAAGTTTTTCATGTCTACACTAAAGTTGTCAGTCTTTTATAAGGTAAGCAATTTTATTAATCAAGTGGCAGATCTATAATGCATGTGGCAGCTCTGTTAAAGTGTATAATTTGCCTTACAGTAATTAACTAAACCAACTATAATAAACTAGATACAACTACTTCCCACCAATAAAAGAAAATGTCCATTAACACATTCAGAACAATCCAGAGCTAGAGGGAAGGAAAATTATACGAAGAAAATTCCCAGAATCTAACCTTTAGGGTCTACTTCACGAGAAATCTTGATTGCATCCGATGTTGCAAGATCTTGATTCGCAGGGGAAATTGCAAGAATAATACAATTGGGCTGCAATGTCAAGAAAACAGAAAGCAATGACTTTCACAAGTATTAAGAGCAAATTGCGATCTTCAAACACAATTTAAATGTTTCCTGACATATTAGAGCAAGCATAGCAAACTACTGCAATACTAGAGAACTGTAGTATTATTGTTTTTCAAAATGTTAACACTACATACTGGAACATTTTCTCTTGGATAAAAGACTAGTACTGACCTTCTCAATATAAGACCGAACCATGTTTTCAATGTCTAGTACAATGCTGTCAGGCTGTCCCTCTACATAAATTTAATGGACAGAATATCAATTCAGAAACAGTTTTTGTTTTGAAAACAAAAGTTATGTATCAATGCAAACATGTTCGACCAATATACATTTTTCTGCATTTGAAATCAATGACACGAATGAACAGCAACCCTACACTCACCAACTGCTACTTTTGTAAGTCCAGGAAGATCGATCAGAGTCAAGTTAACAACTGCCATGACAAAAATCCAAAATAAGTAGATGAAGTAGTAAATGTCGAGGCAATGTAAAATTAGAATGGAATGAGTAGAAAATCTTTTCTCAGATTTTTGGATAACTATACAATGTATTGGTGCTACAAAAAATGCTGCAACTGAGGCAAGTAAAATTAGAAGTCTACGCCAAACTGGTAACAAATTACCAAAAAAACACTGATTTCAACACCAAATGGATTCTAACAAGTGAATGTATAACTGAAAAGGCAATATTAGCAATAGTTAAGCACACACAACAAAGGAATTCACCAGATAACTATCCACTATATGTTAGTGGTGATTTTAAAAGCAATTGTCCACACAGCTATCAGAAGCAACAATCTTTTAGTTGCTAGTACCTGAATGCATTTATTGGGGGAGAAACATTTAACACCAGACTTCAGTAAAATACTTTTTTTTTTGTAATCAAATTCAACCTCATCCTACAAATTTCAACATCCTGCTTACTCAAAACAAATACATCATCAACAACCTTTGTCCAAAAAAAAAAAACCCACCAAAAACCTCAAAAATACATCATTGCAGACAATTGAATTGCACAAATAGAAAACAAACAGTTCTTCATACCATATGGAGAGTATATACTGAGATAAATTGGCACACTAGAAATCTGTTTGCTGCGGCCAGTTTCTCGATCAGTCTCATCAGCAATCTCTTTCCTCACAGCAGCTGAAAGACACATAAGACTTAGAAGCAAAATCAACAGCAGACTGAAGTGAATGTTGAGGAAAAGTTTGCTAATGAAGTCCCAGAAGATAATGAAAACAAGAAAACACACTTGACAGGTGCTACATGCAGAAGATGAAAAGTAGAATTGAGCAAATAATACGGTAGAATAGCTAGTCAAAAACTCACCAAAATCAGTAAACCTCTTCCTTGGTAGGTGTCCAAATTCTGCATATTCTCTACCTTCTTCTATCCGATGAAGCTGTAGAACAAGGGGGCGGCGGGTGACAATTCCTGTACATGATATGTGAGAATTCTGGTATTGTTAAAGTTTTGCATCTATGATTCAAATTGATGGAATTATTACCTGATCCACGAGGCAAAAAATCTTTTCCAACAATGCTCTCAAGCACTGAAGATTTCCCAGAACTCTACAAGTCATCCAAAAGACGGAGTTAAGCAACATAAATGCAAAATAAACCTACAAATCAGAGGAATCAATAGTTTTTGGAAGACATTAAGTACACAATAGAAGATAGATTATCACAGAGGAGACACATGATACATGATACAGGTCATGCACACCACCATTAGAAAACTATTAGCATGCACCTAAGTTTGAGTTGAGCAGAAAGGGCATTGGATCACTCACTTCTGGACCCAAACGTCCATTCTCCACAACAGCCATTGTATATTAGCATAGAATGCACACTCAGAAACATGTCCAGCTATGTAACAGCACGTTCTTAGCAATGATGTCAAGCAGCTCATAAAACTTCTTCAATACGATAAACATATACCACATATTACATTAATACATTCAGCTTCTACATTTCAATACAGAAACTATGGTACTAGATTGCCTCTTCCCATGTGCCTAACATGAACCAAAATTCTCAAAGTTTCAACCCAAATAAAGCTAGAAAAAACTTGGTCCTGAATTATTCAAATAACATACATACTAGGTCCGGCCCCCTTTAATCCCTTTTGAGACATTCCAAAATGTTTATGTCTATAGAACTTTACAACTCTCAAGAATTCAAATTCATTTAACTATTCAATTTCAGACCTTCTAATATGATGCTTTTATAATTAAACAAAATTCTCAAATGTCTCTTCACTATCACTAATATATCACTATATAAGTCAAATATCACATAAAATAAAATTGAGAGAATACTTTAACTACTTCCCCATCCCAATTTATGTGGACAGTTGGAATTCAAGAGTCAACCAAGTTTTCTACTGAAATTCTTTTATATGCCTTTTAAATATTTTAATTTGTTAATTATTGTGATTTATAGTATTTTTTTACGCAATTTTCAAATATATAAATTTTATTTCAAAAAACTTAAAGCTTCTATGTCCAAATTCAAGCCAAAAGTTTAGAAATTTGAATCTCGAAATTCCAACCGTGTCACAAGAATTGACACAACGAGAGTAATAAATGTGAAACCTACATATATGAGCATTTCATGACTAATGTTATCGGATCAACCTGAGGCAAGTAACTTAACCATAAAATCAAGCTGAGCCAAGTAACAAGACCCGAAGAAATCACTCCACTACAAAACCTTCAGGTAAAATAAGGCAAGTAAATGACCAAAAATGGAAGCAACGTAGATATTGCAACAAACAACAACTACTTACAGAAACTATGAGCATACAAGTACCAAAAAATACAATACAAACCGCAGATCTGACTTCAATGAACACGCAAATCAACAAACTCAAGCTCAATAAATACGAACACGACTATTCAAACGAAGCAACAACTTTCAAAAATTCGAATCGCCAGCTAACACTTCCAGATTCATACATAAAACACCGCAATAAAACAGAATTTGCGTTTGCTTCACAATACAGTAACGAAACAGAATATATAAAAATAGAGAGAATCTAGATGTGTCAAAACCTGTCCACCGACAACAGCGATAGTAGGCAAAGCGTCCCAAAGAGTAGGCAACGAACTCTCTTCGCCATGATCTCCAAGTGCAGTACAAGCTCTCTGTAATCTGTTAACTAATGCTATGAGATTCTCCATATCAATCGGCGACTTGATAGTCAACAAGAGTAAGAATCAGTATGAGAAGATGAAAAGAGGGGAAGATGAAGAGATATTGGAGAGAAGAAGAAAGAGGCTTTTCGCAATTTTTGTGTGCAGCTGTGTGTGTGAGAGAGCTAAGATTTTGAAATTAGAAAGCTTTTTGAGTTTCGCATTTGAATGGAGAACCGCTTTAAGAAAATACCAGGACCCTTTTTCAGTCTTAATTTATTTGTGTTTTTGAAACTCAAGTTAATATATTATTTGTCGTTTAATTATATTGATGATATGAGAAAAAATATTATTTACGGATATTTTTAAAATTATTTAAATTGACTTTTGAAAAGTAAAAAATAATACTACATAAATTCAGATATAAAAAATGATTGAAAATACCATAAAGTAGCCTTTTTATATTTTATTTTCTAGCTTTTACACATTGTAAAGAAAATGAGATGATTTTTCATGTCATTTAGTACTGTAGGAGTTTAATTGTTTGGTCACGAAATATTGAAAATTTATTTGTCGCTAATTTCATGTTATGCTTCGTTTTTCTCTGAATCAATTCTTAGGAAATTTTCACTTTTTTCAAAATTAAACTCTGAAAATTACAATTATCCTTAAGATTTTGAAATATTCTATTTTCACTTTTTCACTATATTTTACTCATAGTCAAACACTCACTCAAATAAAATATTATAGTTCAAAGTATAGCAATACTATCATATAATTTAAATATTAAACTAACAAATCGTGAATAATTATTAATTCAATTAAAAAATGTCTTTACCTAATTTAGCATTGAAACGTAGAGTAGCATAGGCATATGTCCATCATGAGTTGTAGTCCAGTGGTGGGACTGTTTAACCCTTAACTAAAAGTCTCGGGCTCCTGAGGATGGAGAAAATCATGTTGGGAGTGTCAACCCCTCAATGAGCCCTACAATGTGTGATCTAAATTCAGTCGAAGCTCAAATTTAGGCACCGAACACCGAGGCATATGGGGAAATGATAGGTGTTGGGTCACAAGGGCACACGAAAGTTGGTGCACAAAGTAACGAGATAGATATGGGATCACTAGGATTGTCTATGAAGTAATCACTAACTTTGATCAAAGCTATAACTAAATCTAGTAGTGAAAATTGTATAAATTGGTATTTGTAGTTTGAATTACACTAAATAGATTTAAAACAATTAATGGGGGAAAACTAAATGCTCAAAACTTTAGGAAAATATGATAAATAAAGGTGTTCTTCATTTATGAAAAAAGTTGTAAGAAGTGATAAATGGCCAGAAAATTAAAAAAACTATAATATTTTTTTTATTTTAAAATAAATTGATCTTTTTTCCATTTTTTAGTTAAAAGGTATTAAAGTTAAAAGGCTAAAAATGTTTTAAAAGGTAAATAACATAGATAAAAAATTTTTCTAGCCAAATTTTCTGGCCAAAAAGATTTTTCCTTTTAAAAATTAGAAAATTTATTCCTTTAATTAAAATAAGAAAACAAGTGTTATAAATGGCTAAGTTCAGTATCTTTTCTCCTTCAATGTTGTAAACTTCCTTCTTGATTACCACATTTCATTCGTGATTTTTCAATAGTATTTCCTAGATTACGTATAAATACTTTTGTTATAATATTATTATTTTTACCTACTTACCTAACACTAAACAAATAAGTAATGCACTCTTATATTTTTGTAAATTAATTCATTTATTTAGGTTATTAACTTATAGAAATATTTCTATGTTCTATTTGCATATGCAAATAACCATAGTTCCTATATTCTTATGTGTTGGATTTTGGGTTGTGGGTCGTGCTTTACGTGACTTGACTCGATCTTTATTAGGAGAGATAACATTAAGAGGTTATTTTTCTACTTTTGTGGTACTGGTAAAATTTATGTATACTCTATTTTTTCTGGACTTTATATAGTGAATTTCGGTGGATATGTTATTGTTGTTATAGTCAACATTAAAAGAAAAAAGGGTAAATTTCATATATAACAAACAGATTTAAGCAAATAATGATCCATAACTATAGTTTATCGAATTACGCTCTATGGGTATAGTTTAGTTTGCTATGGAGCATTAGATTTGTATATCTCGTTTTTTTTTGTTTTAAATTTATACAAAAAAAAATTAATAATTAAATGAATACATGAGTGCTAAATACGGTAACAAAATATAACTGTTAATTAATCCCTTAATTGATGCGACAAAATTAGTTTTAAAAAAAGAAAATATCCCATGATTCATTCCAAGTGTATTTCCTTACCATTTCTTACCAAAATGGACTCTTCAAGCTATAAAATTCTCCCTTAAAATTCAGATTTTTTTATTTTTACTGAGTTTTAACAATTAAAATTTGATTTGATTTCTTCATCCATAATACAACAACAAATATTTTTCGATTTAAAACTAATAATTTGATTTAGTTCTTCCTTTCTAATTGTTCATTTGAAACAAAAAAAATTAATTTCAGATTATTAACTCTGAAATATACAAATCAAAATGTATATAATTATCATGAGCATATACAATCGTATAAGATATACATACGATAAATGCATGAGAACTATTGGTATATATACAACTGGTGCATATATACAAATAAGTAATTATATATTATTTCTAAAAATGAAAAATACATATATATCATTTGATATACAAATTAAAATGTATATAAATACCATTAACAAATTCAATCGTATAATATATACAAATAATAAATGCTAGAAAATTATTAACAGATTCAATCGTATAAGATATACAAATGATAAATGCTAGGCAACTATTTATATATATACAATTGACAACCTTTTTGTATATATGCAATTGATATATATATATATATATACACAAATTATACATGGAAATATACAATAAAAACGACAAATACATATACCATTGATTCATCCCTGTTGAACCATCAAACTTTTTTCCACAACTTTTCCGCGTCTATGTTTTTCTTGAAAAAATTTCAAAATTTGTCGCATCTTAATTGAGTCATTTCAGTGCTTGGATCCAAGCTCTTCAACTAGTCTCTTCATTCGGTCTAGATTTAACAATAGATCTTGCAATATCTTAGAATGCTTGAGTTAGATCCAACGAGAACGATGGTGGAACATCAACAAATTTGGCACGCAATGGCATACCTCTAGTAATCCTCTTGAATGGAGTTCCTTCATCCATTTTTTTTTGAAAATTTGAAGACTTAAGAAAGATTTTTGAGAAAAACATACAAGCATAAATCATATACAAACGAAAAACAATAAAAAAGAGTTGAAACATGTTTTGGGCGATAATCTTGAATTGTGATACCATGATTAGGAGGGAGAAAGTATATTTCGAAATTCAAAATCAATGTGTATGAGTGATTTTAAGAGAGAATTCAAATAAGGGAAGGACTCTTTTTCTTTCATTATACAATTCGTTCGTGGGTCCCATAATTAATAGCAAATTATATTAAATTATAACCAGACACAATAATTAATTGGAACTGTAACCATAGTGAATAATAAACTAGTAATGTTTGCCAACTCACATAATTTTCCCATGAAAAAATTACCTCACATCTTTTAACTTCTACAATTATCAAAGTGAAAAGTAGGGGATAACAATTTCTCCAAGATAACCTTTCTTCTCTACTTTAAATGATTGAATTAAACATGTTTTCTTCCTCATTCAACAAATAATTATTTTTGGGGAGATTTAACTTTATTTTCTAGTGAAATTCAGTTCAGCTTGAAATAATATCGACATCAAAATCGTAAATTTTTATTATTGTTAACAGATATACAAAAACGCTATTCATATTACAAAACTAATTATGCATTAATATTAAAGCCTAAGATTATTTGTTTCCGAGTATATGAAATTAGATCTATAATGAATACATTGACAATTCATGCACTAAATAAAATAAATATGTATACATTTTTATTAAACATCTGAAATTACTCTCTTGTCTATAATTTATGAACTTATTCTGTTTAATCTTAAAACTATAGAAACATGCATTACTTGAAGTACTAGAAGAGGGCAGTTTTTGTAATTAATCAAAATAGTTAAGAGACTAGTTGTTACTATTCAAATCATCATGATTGACACCCACATCAATCCAATGTAGGCTAATCAACACTTAAACACTCAAACTCATGTAACATTTAAGAAATTCAGACATAAATACAAAGCATAACAAAATAATTCTAAAGTGTCAAGCTAAATTAATAAAATAGCGAAAGTCAAAACTATTACATTTTTAGAATTCCAAAATCATCGTACTAAAACTCTAACAAAAATTGTCTGAGAGTAGCTGATGAATAAGTAAATTAATAAAGAAAGACATCAAAGCAAGGAAGATCTACGGTAGCCCGAACGGAAGAAGCTCACCTTCAGATCTAGAAGTAACTCTGCTGAATATGGGGTCTCGTAGGCGCTTTTGGATCACAGTTTATACAAAAAAAAAGTTCAAGAGTAGCATCAGTACAAATACTATGTACTGGTAGGCATCATGTAGGGCGACTACAGCCTAATTTATTTTCATTAAGATTAAGACGTATGAATCTAAATCTATGTTTGAATATTAAGAGTGCATTAAGATTTAGAAGCATGAATCTGAATAGACATCTGAATATTAATATGTTGCATTAAAATCAAAATACTAATAGTTAATATTGTTTTTTATTCATCTGAATGTTAAGATGTTGCATTAAAATCTAAATACTAATACTTAATACTTTTTTTTTCTCAATATCTGAATGTATAGAATTTGTCGTTGCTTAAAAAATCATAATTATAAAGTTCAAATAAAATACTAAATTGGCAAAATATTTTAAAATTTCTATATGATAATTGATGATGGTGATGACTAACAATAGCTATTGTATGTGTCGATTTGTGATTGTGTTGACTGATCATATCATTCCACTACTAACAATCAATAATCATCACCACCACCAATAGTTAATCACTGCGTATAATGGTTTGTAGTAGTGATTAACTGTTGTTGTTGGTGGTGATCAGTGGCGGACCCAGGATTTTCACGAAGTGGGTTCAAGATATAAAAATATACCTAATATTATTTGTAATTTTTATGAGGCTAACAACATACATATTTGACTATACTAAACAATGTTAATAAATTTGAAAAAAAATTACATTGACTTATGAATGAGACGGTAA